GAACAAATAAAATTATCCTTTGAATAGACAGCACATTTGTGTGTTGGTTTACTTGTATTTGAGAGAGAGATTATGTTGTGCAAGTTGCAATATCCTATTTCAGCTGAAAAAGTATGGATCAGATGAAAATTTGTCTACATTTTTGACCCCCACATTTTTTATTTGGCCCCCAGTTTTGAAACCAAGGGGTTTCTTTTATCCTCAGTTTTACACCTCTGCAATGATCAAATGAATCCAAGAGGCAAAGTTTCAAACTGAGGAAACCCATCTTTTCTAAGCAATGGGCAATATTCAGTTGTTATAATCCATATAATGGGAAACAAGGCATAACAAAGTGAAAAAAGCATTATGCCAAAATTGTAATGATTGGCTTGTAATTATTCTGCTAAATAAGATGTCAAAAGGTTGCTTACCTTAGTGGGATAGACAGAGCTTGTTGGGAAAGCCTCAAGTGACGTCATATCGGTGTATCTTCGTTCAATTGTTTTCTTAGTTACAGGGCAATAGTGAACACTCCTTACAATCTTTGGTCGAATTAATGAACCTAAAAGCAATTTTAAAAATCAGTGAAACAGAAAAGAATATGAAATTCTGGAATACCAACAACTTATCCAGGGAGTAATTTTCTTAACTTCAAGCAACAAAATGCAAAATATACTGGCATCTTGTCATGTGTAAAACCTTCTCGATGACTCAATCGGTCATTTGCAAAAAAAGACCAAAATGCCAAGGAAGCTGCTGTAACGTCATCATTAATGGTGCATCTGAGGTGACAAGGTATACAAATATAAAAATATATATAAATCTCACATAATATAAATTTAGGTCTCTCTATTTGTATAGGAAAATATGAACAAGTTTTTTTTAATGATACTGCACAACCTTTGGAAGTGAAGTATTCATCCAAGAAAACAAGTTCATATTTTTTCATACCAATAAAGAGACCTTTTTATTCATTTTATTATTCCACCAAGGCTAAATAATAAAAAATGAACTACAAGAAACAAAGTATTTCAATTTAAGCTGTATTAAAAAATACACAATTACAATATCACATAACACCACCCACCATTCTTAGATTTTTGTTACACGCTCAATGGTAGTTTATAAAAAAAACCTGTCATTAAGGCCAACTTAAAACTGAAACAAAGAGTCATATTGCACTTTACAACTACTTTTCCATTTGGCCTGGAATTGGGTGGAATTCATTTTTTTTTGATTCAACTTGATTCTGCTTTTCTGACTGTGATAGACTGGATTATTGGGTCAATTCAATGCAGATTTAGGTTGGAAATTCCAGCAGTTTCAGTATGTATCAGGTTTTGAAAAACATGTCAGTCAGATTTGCACAACTAATAAAATACAAATTGAAGCATACGTGTGCAAAATGAAGGTGCATAGTATCATAAAATAATACACAAGTTTGACAATGTAATGTTATCTATAACAGAGATCTCAGGAACGCTTAATTACACATATTTGGATGCAAAATTTTGATCTGGGACACACAAAAAAAAAATCATACACACAGGGGTCCTCCGTATGCATGATTTATTGCAAAGAGGAAACTTTTGCAGCAAAATAAATATGTTCGAATTAGTATGAAAACTGAAGTAATACTTTTATTTTAATTTGTTGCAGACTTCTTTGATCAAAGGTCGCTGGCATGCTTTGATGAAGGTACATGTGTTATTGAAGGCGCCGCTAAAGGCTTTTGAAGGACAAAACAAATACCCATTTCTTATTGCTGTGGCAACATCAAATGAATTGTAGAACATTGACGTAATTATATATAAAAAAAATTCCTTTGTTTATATTGGTGCTTCAGAGATAATTAGTTTACATTGAAGTTGCAGCAAAATTTTTTCTGTGTTTTTTGTCTTGTTTTTTTTCCTAAAAATTGCTGTTGTGTGGTTGACTGTAGTCATTTCATGTGTTCGTCAGTTGCATGGCTATTTTGATCATATTACAGCATACAGTTTCATGGCCAGATATCATCGTAAGTGGATTATAACAACAATTAACTGTTCAGGGTGGTTTGTCAATATGAAATAAGAATTTGTTTATGTAACAATTGATTCCAGTACATTTATATATCCAAATTTGCGGCTTCCTGTCATGGTGCCTTGGAATTTCTCCACTCCAAACTCAGGATTGTATATACCGTTTTTGTCAGCAGAAAATGTTGTAGCCAAAAATATCGTCAGATAGTATATTTAGTTGCCAATAGTTGCAATTTGCGACATTGGCGAAGCCCAGCACAATCACTGTTATTGATTTTGTTTCCTGTTGATGCCGTATAAATATTGCATGCAAACTCAAAATCAAGAGACTTAGACAACATGCCGTTTGCAAATTTAGACAAGTGTTTTGTAGTTAAATGAAAAAATGATGAAGATTTCAATGAGATTCAGAACTGTGCTAATGTTGCTATAATTGATAGTTCTGATGCGACCGCAGCCAAATGTAAGAAAGTACGTGATTTCAGGTTTAGTGGGGACTGCAACTTTTACTGGTGGGACTCCTATTTTTACTAAATTAGCAGTCCTGGACTCTTAGTTTTTAAATCCTAGCAAGACTTCTGTATAATAATGAAGCAGACAGCTAGCTGCATCTCTCTCATTTTCGCTTAACAGAATAAGGCAAAGTTTACAGTTTTCAGGCAACTTTTTCGCCCACTTCGCCTGGTAGCATGACCCCAGTCTGTATATAGACAAACATTGTGTACCCCTGCTATAACAATTGCTGGGTGCATCAAAAGGGGAAAATAATGGAAATGTAGTGTGAGAAAACCTGAAGGTTACTTTTATTAAGTCATCCATAAAGATTGATTCAAGTGGGACCAAAGTGCAACAACAGCTCCAACTCTAACAAGGGGAAAGACAAGTTCAATTAATAGTAAACACAATCCACTTGGAATGGAGAAAATTCAACAGAAACTGTTGGTAGGGTGAAAAAAAAAACAGCATACCTTTAGAGGACGATGGTAAAACCCCCATCCTGATCATCTCCAGCATAGATGTGACTGGGAATCTTAATAAAAAATATCAAGTTAGTATTTGTAAATGACTCTTTGCCAGAAACCCACAATGACAAAGTAGAGAAACCAATTCATATTTCCAAAAATATGCCAGAATCTTCGGGATTCCATATAGTACAATATAAATCTGAACTTCACTGGTGATGAAATTCTTCTGCTCATATATAAAATACTGTCAAGGGACAAGATCTGACTCCTAGTTTGGGATCAAAAAAAAAAATGTGACCAATAATCCATAATGGAAAATGGATGTCACACGAGAATCTCGGAGGAAGCAGTTGTCATACTATTGGAAGATGGGGACCGCTATTATCCCTATCACCCACCTTGGTAAAAAAAAAAAAGCAGGGTGCAGGGCGGTGCGCAAAGACTAGATTGAATTGAGAGCTCAGAATTTAAATAATTCACGGCCCCAAATATCAGGATCTATTTCCAGTGATGCTGGAAAACGGGACTAAAATTATGCATTCTGTAGATAATAAGAGTCTGAATAATCACAGGAACTCAAGGTTTTCTTGATTGAGGTACAATTCAAAATAATCCATCAAGAGGGAAGTTTGAATTGGTGTCATTTCAGGATAAACTGGTGCTTTTTAAAAACTTGGGAGAAAGACCTTAAGGCAGTCCTGATAAGAATACTTCTTGGGCTGTAAAATATTGTTGTCACAGTGCCATCAAATCTAGAAATGCCATCGAGGAAAGCAAATTATAATGGACAGAGCTTCATAGATTCACTTTAGCAGATGAATGCAGGTGCACATTCTAATCCATTTTGAGGCAAGGCATGGACATCCATGAAGGGGAATGAAAATTTGCTTCCCCATACACAAGAGGGAATGAATGAAACAGGAGCCATCAACCCTATTTGGACACGAAAACTTCATATCCATACTGGTATTGATAAGCAGAACTGCTACTACCCTGATCCTTGACCTTTGACCCCAAACCAATAATTGGAATCCAATGATTAGTGGTAACCAGTGACAAACAACCCAAGATCAGTCACTTGTCAGAGACTGTTAAAGTGAAAACAATCCAATGGTAGAGTTCACACATTAAAAGACCCAATCTGCTCTTTATCTTCATCCAGTCATCAAGCCAGTATTCATTTTCACCTTCATCCAGTCATCAAGCCAGTCTTCATCTTCACCTTCATCCAGTCATCAAGCCAATATTCATCTTCACCTTCATCCAGCCAATATTCATCTTCACCTTCATCCAATCAAGCCAATATTCATCTTCACCTTCATCCAGTCATCAAGCCAGTATTCATCTTCACCTTCATCCAGTCACCAAGCCAGTATTCATCTTCACCTTCATCCAGTCACCAAGCCAGTATTCATCTTCACCTTGATCCAATCATCAAGCCAGTATTCATCTTCACCTTCATCCAATCATCAAGCCAGTATTCATCTTCACCTTCATCCAGTAATCAAGCCAGTATTCATCTTCACCTTCATCCAGTCATCAAGCCAGTATTCATCTTCACCTTGATCCAATCATCAAGCCAGTATTCATCTTCACCTTCATCCAGTCACCAAGCCAGTATTCATCTTCACCTTCATCCAGTAATCAAGCCAGATATGCTTCTGCTCCAATTTAGCCAGGGTGGTGCGACTCTTTTCCAGTTTCATTTTTCCCATGAGATGATGATGTACTCACTAAGCAGGTGGGGCGAATGCCCCATGGAACCTTTATGTGCCAACACCTTGGAATGTTCTGGATGTGATTATGATTTTTAATATAAGTTTAACAATAATTCAGTCATATCACTATGTAGTCTGCAGTGTGGCAGTTTATAGTGATATCTAGCACTGGGGCATCATGCCGCAGAGATGTAGCATGACATCCCACCCAGTCACATTATCATGATACCAGGCCGAAAAGTCCTAACACTAACCTCTTAATACTGAACGTCAAGCGAGGCAGCTGTTAGTACCATTTTTGTAAGTCTTTGGTATGACTCAATCAGGGATCGAACCCACAACCTCCTGCATTCGAGGCAGACTCTTTAACCACTAGACCACCAGAGCGGTTGGAGTCTTCTTTAACATTACACACTCAAATATAGAATGAAACACCTGAGCAAAAAAATACCCTATCACTGAATATCAGTCAATGGATAAACTTACCTGGTCATCGCTTGAGTAACTTATCACGCATCATAAACTCTTCATTTTCAGCAAGAGTTAAAATAACTAAAAAATTTCTAGAACTGAAGGGATTATCACTGTTTATATGGTAAAAAGATTAAAATTTTAAAATACATCTTTAGAACACAAAATGAATGCAATTTCTGCAAACAGATTGGATATGAGCAAGTGTAGAGATGTTCAAGGAAAAAGGATTTGGATTCATAATGCAGCTTTAACAACTTTTCAGTCATATTACTATATCTGCAATGTGATTTTTAAAGTGATGTCCAATGCTAAGGCATCATGCCACAGACATAACTTGATGTCCCACCCAGTCACATCATCCGGACACCAAGCCTACCGGTCCTAACACTAACCTCTTAATGCTGAGCGCCTAGTTAGGGAGCCATTAGTAAAATTTTTTAAGTCTTTGGTATGGCTTAGCTGGGGTTTGAATTTGCAACCTTCCACATCCGAGGTGGATGCTCTAACCACCAGGTCTCATGGAATAATCCTTTCATCACAATTATCATTTATCACATATATTTGCTTACAAATCAAGCCCAAATGCAAATAGCACAGACCCAGATCTACCACTGCCCAAAGATCCAGGTCTGTGCAGTTTGTTAGGAGTAATCAGTTAAACAAACAATACAGATCCTGTTGGTACATTATACTAGATCAGTGTATATGATGTTTGCAGTTGGATCGGACTGGCACGCGGAGATATGCATAAATAGAAATCAACCTACATTTGGTCACGATGCCTTCCACACAAACCATATTGCCAAGGAATCTGGATGTCAGAGTTCTAGGTGAAACATGTTTGCCACCAAAACTGCAAAAAGATATAAAATTTAATGCACTATTATCCTCATTACATTTACACTGATTGATAAATAGTTTTAACTCATTTTCAGTTCTCTTCCTCTATTTATAGGAGTACTAGTATTTCAAAGTTTGAAGCCAAAAGGGTTAATTGGTCCCCTTCATGTGAAAAGGCTGACCAATGATGTAATTGTATTGGTCCAATCTTTAAATAGATTTTAAATCTTAATTACAGAACAAAGTAGACAACCTTCTTTACTTTTAAATAATTTGATGTTGGTGCATTTAGACATAGCCTAACAATATTTGACTATTTAACTCAGCTTTTGCAGGTTTTACCTGCATGTTTATTAATCACATTTTGTAATACTCCAAGACAACTGAAATGCAACAATATAGATAATTAAACTATTGTTGACAACCATGGTTTTTAAAATGGTGCTAAATTCACAGTACAGTGAAACCCGTCTTGAAAGACCACCCCATTTTACCAAAATATTATGGTCTTTTCATGACAGGTGGTCTTATATAACAGGTCATTAATTCTATAGTCAATAACCCTGTATATGAAGAACCTGGTCTCTTCAAGACAGGTTGTCTCAACAGGTTTTACTGTACTTCATGCAAAGCAAGCTTGTATTTATATATAGTAGCATTTTATTGTATAGTATACAGTATCACATCATCAAACTAAATGTCCAGCTCAATTCCAAGATCGATTTGCAGGACATGAAATTATCAGCATGCTGCCAATGTGATTGTGAATCTTCAAACGGTAAAAAAACTAAACCTGCTACAATTATGCCAAATCAGAAGGGAAGGAGAGCAGACTCCAACTGTATAAACATTGACTTAATGAACACAGTAGACTGCTCCTTTTACAAATGCATACAATTAAATAACAGGCAAACCATAATGCACGGAGCAATCATGTAAAGATTTTTTTTTCCCATTCAGATTTCATAAATCCTAAAGAATAATGATTTTGTACTACCTACCTTCCTTCAAAACCAACAAAGAATTCTTCATATTGTTTGCTGTACACTGGATTAGCTGAAGCAACAAATTCTTTGAGTGCCCTCTGGAATGCAACCATTTCTTCAAAGGAGTCATTCAGCAACCTATCATGAACAAACAAAATGGAATGAGCATTTAACTGGGCAAACAAAATTTTAATTTAGTCACTTACCTAGCAATGTGATGTTCAACTAGATTTTAGCCTTATAGTTGAGTGTGATTGGCTCTAGACATGCACTTACCTATCAGGAGAAATGTGATGTTCAACTAGATTTTAGCCTTATAGTTGAGTGTGGCTCTAGACATGCACTTACCTATCAGGAGAAATGTGATGTTCAACTAGATTTTAGCCTTATAGTTGAGTGTGATTGGCTCTAGACATGCACTTACCTATCAGGAGAAATGTGATGTTCAAATAGATTTTAGCCTTATAGTTGAGTGTGATTGGCTCTAGACATGCACTTACCTATCAGGAGAAATGTGATGTTCAAATAGATTTTAGCCTTATAGTTAAGTGTGATTGGCTCTAGACGTGCACTTTAAATGGATTATTTTGGGGTATGAATTTTACACATGCCAACCCAAGTGAGATGTAAACCTAACTGGCACCAATAGAAGTAGCAAAATAATCTTGATCTGAGCATAAAAAGTATAATGCACGCACACACTACATGCCATCATTTAAGGAAACTAAGAAAATTTACATTTATTTGTGCTAGACCACATGTCAGCATGTACGCATGCAGAATTTATCTAAGGTTCTGCATAATGCTACTCTTTCTCATGAAAGTGTGGTAATGGTTAGTAACTACATGGTTCCCATGCCTTTTTGAGGAGAAAAAAATCTTTTCCAGAACGAAATTAATTTTTTAAAGGTTTACATATGCCATCAATGAATGGAATCAAAGAACATTTTTGCATTGAAAACATTTTTTAAAATCAAAAAATGTTTTCTATTACAAGTATCTCCCGTAACATCTGAATCATACATAACCATGAATTAAACTACAAAATTGATTACAAGAAACAAGTGATTAGTGAAAAGTCATATAAATGTATGTTTAGTCATTTCAGTTTAAAGAATACAAAAGTTAACTTTACTGAAAACAGCATTATGTTGGTATGTGGAAACAACAATAGAATGAACAATCAAAATTATTTTGTTTTCCTTTCAAATGTTTAAATCTAAAGAAATCAAAATTATCAACCCTACATCAAGATAGCAACATCTCAAGCAGAATATTAATTCACGGGCATGGTATTTAATTATGGAAACAATTTTGCCATCATCAACTTAGAGAAAACAAAATAATTAATTCCAATCTTAATGTCAGTATGAGGAATTATTTTCAGTTGTGTTTAGATATAATCTGATAAGACTAATTTATTGAAACCTTATTCACTGGAATTACAAAGTGCACATACACTTTCTGGACTAAAACACTATTTTGGTATTTTTGTGAATTCAAAGACATTCTGGAAGATATAATTGTGATACATCATGACTGGGACATAAATATTGGAAATCATTTAGAGCACTATATACTTTTAGACTTGTGACAGAAAATGTAGGATTATCTAATTCACAAGACTGCAAGTTTTTCATAAATTTTTCAATCTAAAAATTCAAAAAATAAATTATTCAATTTAACCCAGTCATAGCAGAAATTGGAGGCTCATCACTTTGCTTCTTTCTAATTAAAGACAATAGTTGCAACATCTACAAACTGTACATTTCCAATGTATTACATAAGAATGACAATCTAAGAAAGAGATACTGCCCAGGCACCATGATGTCACCTTTGTTTACTTACTACAGGCTCTCTTGGTTTCAAATCAACTTTATGAAGAAAATAACATAAATATGAAAGGAATAAAAATCTTTAGGGGTGGGGATGCAATGCCATGAACTGTCGGTTTAATCAAGAGGGTATTTCAAATCCAATAATCAGTTTAAATGAAAAAATAAAAATCATGGTGTAAAGTCTTGTTACAGTCTAAACAGAACGGGAAGTTTACATTTTTGGGGCGACTCAGTCACCCACTTCACCTGGTAAGATGACGCCCAAAGCAAACATGTACATAATGACTTATTTTTCTTTTTTGTTCTGACATGAAAACAATTTACATCCCCTCTATTTAAACTACTTACGTTTGTGCTCGTGCAGTATTCTTTTTTCTAAGGTCATTGATGTTGACAACCAGGCGAACTGCATTATTGGTGATCATATCACGTACCTTTTGTTGGTATATACCTTGGTCATCCTGTAGGGAAAAAAAAGGGTTTAAATTTGTATCATTCAGATGGCAAAATTCAAAGTGATGCTTCTAGTGCTAGAACTTCAATAATGATCATTGATTCCCAATTTATCTTTTGAAAAAAAAAGCAACAGTAAATTAAATTGCTGATGTGTAGAAGACATCACCCCAAAGCATGAGTAATTCACTGAATTCTTAGAGATAGTGAGGATAAAATCGCTAGGAACTAAGCTTGGGGCACAGCTAATGTTGCCTTCCACACAGCACAAGAAACTGCCACCAGCCACCAGTATAATGCCTGCTAATTTAGTAGTGTACAGGGGTGAAAAATAAAGGGCTGGTCTATCAAGTGTTAAAATTTCACAAGTAATCAAAAATATGCACACTACTTTCAAAATCATAAAAAAAATTAACATTTATTAACTTTAATACTCTTTCATAATTTTTGCTTCTTTCAGCTTGTATTAAACTGTTCTCCAAACAGCCTGAGGTACCTATTGTGAAGTAAAAAAAAAAATCAAAACAAACTGGTTTTAAAATTAGTGTTGGTATGTTTTTTTTAAACATTATATACATTATGATTAGTATAAATAATATGTTAAGCTTTTCAATTCCTGAGTTAAACCAGCTCATATCAATTTCTGTAATTTTTTAAAATTTTTTGTAAACCCATCATCACCAGTGATAAAAGATGCTAGGGGTCAGCAACAAAAAAATTGGGATTGTTGGTTGACCCGAACTAAAAACTGGGATAATTGACTGACCCAAACATGTTTTTGGCCTGCGGCAGTGAAAATATAAAAA